AAGAGTTAACCATGTTAATTATAAGACACAGGATGAGGAAATGTTTCTTGCATTTCATTTTATTAAAGTAGGGAAGTTGCATGATCCTTCAAAGTTGCTACTACAACCCTTATAAGTGAATGTCTCACAATGTCAGGCTGAAGAACATTTTATAACAGTTACTGGACAAATTTAATTGCTTAAATGTAATATTAGTTCGCACTTTTTATGTCAATTTGCAGAAGAAAGCCAAGAACCAACTAAAAGAATCACAACACCATATATGACAAAATATGAGAGAGCAAGAGTATTAGGAACTAGAGCACTACAGATAAGGTACTTGACCCTTTAACTCTCAGAAGTGATTAATATGTAACTTCTCCCTGTAATATCCATACATTATTCAGCACAGCTTTAGCCAATTACAGAGGATCCCACGTTACAAATGACAAGGCCAGACCCCCCCCCCCCCCAATTCCCAGTAAACAGGACAGACTACATCACAGTAATCTCGTTAGTAGGTTCTTTAACATCCCCTGCCTAACCAAATAGAATAATTAATAGAAAAAGGAGACAGGACCTACAGTTTATTCGTCCTTATCCGAGAAGACTAGAATGTCTATCCATTTCTTGACATTATAGAAAGGTAGCACATTCTCCTCAGTTATTTTAAGACCTTGAGTGTTGGTCTGGCTGGGGCACGAACCCTCAATCTCCCGCACAACAGTCCAGTGCTCTAACCAATTGAGCTAACTGGGAGGCGGTCTAAGATTTTAAGTTATACTTTGGCTACAGACTATTTCAGTCCATTCTGGCAAGACCACAATTTTTATCTGTTGTGTTTTGATAACCAGTATGGGTGCCCCTGTTATGGTGGAACTTGAAGGTCAGACAGATCCTCTACAGATAGCCATGAAGGAACTCAAGTAAGAATTTTAATGAATTTTTTTTTAACAGAGTATTTAAGGTAAAACTTACAGCGTAATTAGTTTAACAGCCCGTACCAAGTTGACTCAGCAATGTAATCCAAAGAGAGTTTTTAATATCTCTACTTGGATCTCTGTTTTGTGATAGTTGATGTGTGCTAAGCCAGAATAAACTACTACATGGAAATCAAGGGTTAATTATCTACATGTAGTGGGTAGCATAGCCAATGGGATGGCAGCATCTGTGATATAATTCATACAGATTTATGATAATATTTATCAGACTATATGACAAATGAACCTGGAAAAATACTTGCAGAAGTTGCAAACCTCTTAATTCTTTTTCAATATTATTTCAGAGCAAGAAAAATCCCCATTATTATTCGGCGATATCTTCCAGACGGAAGCCATGAAGACTGGGGGATAGATGAACTGATCATCACTGAATAAAACTGCATTGGTGGTAGTTTAGTTGTCAGCATTTTTTTGATGTTTTGTTGGCTTACTTATGGGTGCGTCTTAGTTCATTTTATGTCCATATTTACCAATTAAAAGTACTACCTATTCCTTTTTTTTAACCCTACCCATTAGAGTTCTGTATATCCTCAAGAGATTTTCAATTATTTCACACCTGCAGTGTATTTATGTAGTATGTTAATAATGTATTTTGTCATTTTTTGGAAAATGCTTTTGATAAACAGTAAAAAGAGATCAGTCTCTGGTTTTACTTCAGTTCTGTGCAAAATTATCATTCTGTGTTTCAAAATAATCATATACCTCCTACTAAACTCACTTTCTCAGTCCATACTGTATGCTATGAACCAAGATTTTTCACCTTGGATATATGGACAGTGTATGAAGCCCATAGCTCATAAATCTGTGTGTAAATAATTAGGATCTGTAACGTACAGTACAGACTGAGAAAATGAGGTCAGTAAGATATATATTGTATCTTCGGTTCAAATGGAGGGTGAAGATTTTCATTTAAACAGATTTTGAATTTACTGGGTGGTACCATGAAATACAGCCCCCTAAACTGACCAATCATAGCACACACATACCAACTAAGAGATATAGTAATACAACATAGACCTCTGTCATAATGTCAGGCAAGATTATTATTCTTATATTTGCATGCAGATATGCTTTCTTGGCCTCACTCGCAATGATAATTACATTGTTTTTACCCAAGTTGCCTCCTGCCTAAGCCAGAAGGGCTACTTTACAGGAATACAAAAGACCTGAAATAAGGCTAGGAATTCTTTACTTTTCAAATTACAGGCCTCTCAGAAAGGGGTCGTTTTGGTCTCCTCTTAATATATCTTTTGCTTGAGTGGAGACTAGTGACCAGTGTGGGTGGGGTAAGGTTTTCTTTGCGGTTAACACTTGAGTGGAGGAACAAAATTATCTGAGAGAAAAAAAGTTTTTCTTTAATCATTTACATCCAATATTCCTCTAATGTTGTGACATTTTACACAATTATACAATGCCTGTACAGTCAAACATTTAATGTTGACTCCTGTTCAAGTCCAGCCACTGAACCCTTAAAGTTTTAAATTAAAAAAAAAAACGTTTAACATCCAACACTTTTTTTTCCTTTTACAAAATATTTTCCTTAAAATACATTAAATAAAAAGTTTACATAACCATTAATCATATCTTGATAATCAAGTATAGAACTATTGTGCAATATTTGTCATAATTCCAAAAGTAGGAGTTTAGAATTGGATACCTTTTTTTTTTTTTTTTCAATAAACCATTTTTAAAAAGTTCATTTTCTAAAAAAAACAATGATGGATGGGTAATAATGTGGTGCTCTTTGGTAAACTTATCATTCTGTTAAAGTGCTTCCTTTGCAGTATCTGAAATTTTATTTCATTTGCTCAGATATCTTCAAAATTTAAAGAAAAATACTAGAATAATTGATGCATTTCAACAGATATTTATGTAAACAAAGGGGATATAATTTACTGTGTGTAAATTCAATTGTTTAAATAATTTCTTTTAATAGTTAGCCTGATATATTTACATGATAACACATCAGTTAACTGTAGAATAAATAAATAAGTAGTGTACCTTATTGAAGTTACATTTAATAGTGGTATTTGAATTACTATTTGCTTCGATGGAGATAACCGCTGAGAACCGTGAATACCTGTGAGAAGTAAACATTAATCACAGCGGCCAAACGTTGCGCATGCACACCTCGCGTCAATTTCCCGTGCAAATTTTCAAAGAAAAAGGAAAACGGAAGAAACAACCCTGTCACGCAAAAAATGCAAAAAAAAAATCCTCATAGAAAAAGAGTGAGGTTGCCATTGTCGATATACAAAGGGACGTTGAAGCAAACAAACCCAAGTCAACGAAAGATCAGTTATTTTAGAATCTTGTTTGGAAAGGACAGAACTACCACACCTTGTGCGGCCCATGTGTATATTTTTGTATTACATAACATCTTATATGATGGTGATAATAACAACACACTGAAGCGAAATTTTAGGAAGGGCTTTAAAAATATCTCCAGCGTCTAAATCTAAAAAACTTGAACTGGCGCCTTTAAACGAAACGTGAGGACCGTGAGCACTGGGACGAGTTATCTATAGTTAGTAGTCAGTCGCGGCTTCCAAATCACGTCGAGGTGGTCTTCTGGTATATTGATGGTATGCTAACTAATTAAACTTTTTACGTCAAAATTTGACATCATCCAGCTCATGCTGACGCGGCCCTTCAATCGTCGCCATGTCTGAATTCCATGGTTCTTTATCATACGTCGGTTCAACTTGTGCCCAATGTTTAATCATTGGATTGGTCCTTTCGAGAGGTTTCTCGTTTCCTTTAGTTTCACTGCTTGGCTCATGTTCTTCTAGTTCCAAATCATTTATCGCTGAACCAGCAGAGGAAGGAGCGGTTGCCTGGTTTTGAATGGCCAATGAATTTGATAGGCTGGGAGTTGGGACTTCAGTTGCCTGAAAAAATACGAACACGATCCGGATAAAATTAAAAAAAGGCTTGAAATATAACAAAATTGTCCTTCTGTTTGCTTTTAAGTGTACTTTTCGAATTTTATGGGCTGAAAACTGCAAAGCATTCAAACTGTTTCACATCATGTCTGAAACAAGTACCGAAAATTCATCTAGCCATTCAGGTTTAATAAATTATCTAATCAGCCAATCAAATTTTGTCGTTACTTGAAGAGTGTGAATTTTCCCGCGCTTATCTCCGGCTGCACTAACTCTTGCGTTCGACACTATTTGCAAGATATATTCCCGCTCATTTAAAACATTTTTTTTCGTTTTTTGATATATTTTATCTAAACTATCATTTATATTAATTCGTGGGTTAAACCAAGGGTTATCAGGTTTCAATCGATAACTGAATATGACAAAGTCTTGTCAATAGAAAAATCTATACAGCTTACCATTGCTCCAGGCCCGGCCAGAGACAAGAAAACTGGTAGAAATAGGAGGCCATTAAATGTGCCAATACATATCAATGCTAGGAGAAGGTTAAAGAAGTATCTGAAAGATAAATGAGTTACAAATGTAATAATGTACATGAAAAAAATTGGCTGAAAACGAGTGTATTCTCATGTAATACGAGTGCAAATCACAAACAGCGCGCGCGCTGCCAAAATTTCGTCCGTCGCGACTTTCTGTGATGCGTTCTTCCTGAAAATTATTTACGAGTAACAACATGATTTTTCGTGCAATTTGGTATTGATAAGCCCCAGTAAATATTTCAAAGACAGCAAAATTTGTTGTAACATGCCCTAACTTGCCTTACGGGCATTTGAAATTTTGTTGTCTTTGAAGAATTGCTCGTAGACAGAATCCGTATTACAATTACATTCTGTGCAAATGTAACTTGAAAATTAAGAGTTCAAGTGAATTTCAAATTTACGTAGCTCCTACGCAACGTTCAGGTGTGAAGTATGGGATTTCTCAGGTCCAACACAACGGGTAAAGAAAGAGCATTTGTGCACTTAATGCTTTCAGATAGAGGACTTGAAGTGAGTGACCATTCTCGTAAAAATTTAAATCAGCAAATTTGTCTCACCTGACTATGAATTCGAATTCGGATCCTGCCAGCATCACAACGCCAAGAAGCGTCGAGATGGCACCGTCCACGATTGGTACAAAAACATGTTCTATTGCCTTCTGCATCCTCTGGTTTCTATCACCGACGGCCTGCATAAATGCCTAGGAAAATGACGTACACAATTATTATACGTGTTCAACAAAGTTCTTGCCCAGCAAATTTATCTGGTTCCAAAAAGCCGTAGGTAAATTTTCCAACCAAATCATATTCATAATACAGTTTTCTCGTAGCCAATCAGCTACAACGATAAACGCAACAGTGCCTTGGCTTGGATGAGTTTTCCCGCCCTTGACATTTAGCAGAGCCTTTTGCTTTCCCGCCCTTTGTACCGGTTGCTTTTTTCCCGCGCTTAACACGCATTGTCATTTTTCGCGCCCTTGATGTAAGAATTCGTTCTGAAATTTCTTTATCTGCACTTTCTGAGATTCCAGTGGAACGACTTAGGACAATCTGAAATTCAACCTGTTTGTGCTCAATGTGTTTTTCAGTTGCATGCAATTAAAAAGCCAAAACCACAAAAATTCGTGTATAACAGCTGGTCAGAAGAAAGGAAAACTCGACAAAAGGAGCCACTAGAAAACCTAAAGCACGTGAAAACACAGCCATCAATGACGCTGCAACTATTAGTCGAAAAGATGGCGTGAGTTTCCCAGACCAATCATAGCAAAGTAAGCCAAGACTAATGAAATCTCGGATTGCTCACGACTTTCACTTTAAAATTGCCTTACTATATTAGAGAATTCTGAAAACATACGCGTTCTGTGATGTAAAGCAAAAGCTATTACATACCATGCACATGTGTACAGTAAACTCCACTCCAACTCCAACAGACAGAATGAGTGTCACTGCAGGTACAGCACTAAGTTTTATTCCAGCCAAGCCCATGAAGCCATACACTTCAACTGTTATCATCACCAAGACAAGTACGATGACTGCTGCAGCCCAGATGTTGAACAACAACACTGCCATTGCTAAAAAGCTCACCGCCAACGATATGGAAATTGCGATGATAATTTGCCGCCTTAGCCAAATGTACTGCTCCCAAAACGTAAAGGGGACCCCACTGGGGTAGTTAGGGAGTCCTTCTTCGGCATATTTGTCGCAAATCTCTCGAACATCCTGGAAAGAATAAAAAGGCATATTTTGAAAAAGCTCTAGGTCACTGACTTGCTAACAAAACTTTTCTGGAAATATTTCCATACCCAAAAAGGGGTTTAATTACCTTGATCAACTTTACAAAGTCTTTTGTTTCTTGAAGACCAATGACGTTAAAGTTGATCTTTGCGAACGTGATCGGTTGAGCTGCAGCCACTAAAAATAACAAAACGATGAAGAGCAGGAAAAGTTAAAAAAAGGTAACACGCTAGGCTTCTCTGAGTGTGATGATTCGGTCCCAGTCGTCTGAATGACGCGCGCAGCTTGATAATACATTTTGAAGAAGATATGGATGGTAGAATGGAAAGAATCTCTACCCACCAATCTTTACGCAGCTTCTTCCTCCATGTTGCCCGTCTATGTTTAGTACTCCGTTTCGGAATAGCAGTTGATCAAGTCTGACTATTGTAAGCCCTGCTCTACAACGCTATAAAGCGTAAACTCTAAATTTTCAGGGTATTTTTCCTACCTATCATTGCTTTATCATCTTGGGAGGATCTTGTATTTGAAAAGTCAACAGTCTTTGGCTTAATGTCGGCCTGCGAAAAAAAAGAAAGGCTCAACACGTTGTTGCCTATCACTTTGTTGTTTCTTCAACAAATTTTTTCTTCAAAAAATATTTAACATACTTGTGAATCTTAAATCTTTCTTACATAAGCCCAAAACATTGTTGTCTATCATTTTTTTTTAACATACTTGTGAAAATGCATATCCTAATACGTCCCTATCGATCCAAACTGTGAGAGCTTTGTAGAATATTTCAGGACGAATGATTCCATTGCTCACTAGCTTGTAGTTTCGAACCTGTAAAGAAATAACACAATAAATACAGGCAATGCATGATAATGAACTGTAAACAGCACGCGACCTTGTTGTGAATGACGTTTGCTTGACATCTGATTGGTTGATGAGTCGCACGAGTCACTTCCACCAATCAGACAACGAGGTTATGAAGCAATTACGTTTTAGTCACTCACTAGAATCACTAAAATATTTTAGTTTTAATCTCCTCTGGGGTCACTTAACCTGGACCTAGTCACCCTAAAATGAGCATGCAAATTCTCCATACTGCCTTGGAAACATTTCCCGTGGTACTGTAAAGGAGACTTTGTTTAACAATCAAGAGCTTCTGGTAGCGTTCCTTTTCTTCCTGTTTGATTCAGTGATGATACAATGAGGAGAAATAAGATGCTTGTCACTCTTAGAGGTTGACCCTTTAACTCCCAAGATTTCATTGGTAATTCTCCTTACTGTCTGCCATACAATTTATGTGATGTTAGTTTGGAGAATTTGGAATTGGATCAACCAATAATCCCTTAATTGATATTTTGCTTTATTCTCATTACTTGTCTGCTTGATATCGTACTAACAGTGTAGGGAGAAATTCTGTCTAAGTCACTAGTGGGACTTAAAGGGTTAAAGGGTCGAACTCACTAAATATTTAATCCCAGCTGTATCAAAGCAGCTGTTAAAGTAATAGAACGCACTTTGGATTAGTTTACTAGCGTAATAACCCACGCAAAGTTTTGGAAGAATACGAGGAAGAAAAGTACCGTATTTTCTCGATTAAACTCCTGTCTCTTATTAAACACCGACCTCGATCGAGAAAACGGCGGGTCCGAACTGCCGATTATTAAATAAACGCCGAGGGCGTTTAATCGAGAAGATATTGTTAATCACGAACCGGAGGCGAGTGGTCTACAAAGTTTTCGAAATAACCTTCAAATTTTGCATCGGCGAAATAAACGATAGATTTTGATCAATCAGGGCGATCATAGTATCCCAGTTATTTTATGAAGGGAGAGAATCAGACTTCAAAACACTGCATTAAAAGAGGTTGAAGTTCTTACCTGTGTTCGGTCAATTTCATCTGATTCATCTGTCTGAGATAGTAGTTTGTAAGCCATTACCCCTGTGCTGGATGCTGCTTCAGTCCAGCCAGCGTCGGTTATGGTTTTATTGGCCCAGTCTTGGTCAAATGACGTCTGTGCATCTAAAAGAATGATGATTATCATACAAAGATGTTTTATTGTCTTGTTACGAGCTAGGAACTAAGAATCAATTCTGATTCCCCTAGAAGAATTGAACCTCGGACCTACAATCCGCTGTCCAGTGCATTCGGCAGTACACCTTATGACTTTCCTGTCAGTACTTGCAAGCTCCGTCACAAAGATATTTTGAGATCACGGCTCACTAGGAAGTTCACATGAAATTATTAAATTTTCAGTCTCAACTTATTACACTTTTATCCGACTATTACAAGGTATTGGGCCGAGACCCAATCATGCTCCATCACGGTTTAATTTTACTCAGAAAATACGAATAAAATTTATAAGTTACAATCCTTACCATTGAGCCAGTCTCGAAAGTACATAAGCCAAAATTTGGGAATTTCTTCTGAACCAGGAATTCTAATAACATTTGGTATCTGTTGACAGGGAAAAAAGATAGCTCAAATTCGTTTCCTTATGTAACAGTTACTTCCAATTTATAACCTCGCCCCTTAAAAAATAAACTCTTATGTAACATATGATTTCTCTAGCTGACATTGAAGTATTTAATATTATATATTTTTACACTGTAGTACCCTAATATGAAGCAGTTTTCAATTCAGGGTCGCTTTCATTAGGCTTTCTTCACCACACTCTGTGATTGGTCTACGAATCTCCCGCCACCCTTTCAGCCAATCAGAAGCAAAATTAAAGTCGTCAACTGCGACCGTGTCACTGTAATTTCCCGCGCTTTGCGCAGTCTGCTTATTTTTACTTTGAGTTCTCATTGGTTCGTTGTAATATTCACCTTTGTTCTGATTGGGTATTGTAATGACATTTGTTTAAGTGTTACAGAAGCCTATCGAAATTAAATAAATAATTGACTATCAAGATCATTGGGTAAGAAATGTTTAGAGCTACAGTGGACAAAAACGTGTCGCTATGAACCCACCTGTTTAAATGCTTCGTGGTAGGATAATAAAGTGTTCTGTTTGTTGGCGTAGTCAAAGTTATCTTGTGTAACAAGAGTCATGGGATAAAATGAGAAATACTTGAATTGAGCTTCCACAAATTTGTGTGCTACGCTGTTGTGTGGAACTACTTCGGTGAGTTCTAAACCGTCTTCCACTTGAAAGGCACCGTAGATCCCCACAGCAAGAAGACCAAGAAAGAACAAAATCACTGCAACCTAAAAAACCCATATGTATACAGTCAGTGGTTAAGAACGCTCGGTGGAGACGAGATAACACTAACATACTCTCTCATCGTCACTCTCACGTGAAATCTCTTTCCGTCCAAAACCACTTTCTATTGGAAGAGAAGCAGACTTCTGACGTTTAAAAAAAATTTTAGTGGATCCAAAAGCTATACCCAGAGTTTCAATATTCTTGGTAAAACATGAGAAAAAGACTTGAGCTCCCTCGCTTGTAGAAAACGCCGTGGTCTGATGGCGAGTACGCTGAAAAACGAATCGGAGGGTCTGGATTCGAGCCTTAGCTGAGTCTTGGGCGAGCCACTTACTGCTCACAGAGTATCTATCTGTGCGCCTAAGAGTAGAATTGGGTATCGGTAAGCTGTCAGAGATGCTAGGGGGAAGAGAAGAGGGGGCTTTTCAATCGACTAAAAAATCCACGGAGAGTAGCAATACTCCTCTGGTCGCTTCACGCCCCGAAGTCGGGAATTACCACTGATAATTAAGAAAATCAGTTTGTATACTGAATCTTATGCAGACCCATAACCTTTTGCTGTAATTCTAGTTATAAAACTAATGGTTGCTTAAAACGTCACGGGCCAATGCTTACCTTAACCGACGTTTTCTGCAGTGCAGGGCCATAATAAACTGTGGCAAAATTTTGAAGCGATATAGGTGCGCATTTGTACCGGAAAGATCCATCATCGTTACCATTTACTGAGGAATCAACTACGCTACTCGGAGTACCATGCTGTGATGCATTAGGACTGAGGTGATTTCTCATCATACTTGCTTCGCTATCGTAAGACAGTTTAGACTGCTTGTCCAAGTTATTTGTATACTCATTTACCAGGACCTCACCGATAGAAGAATCTGATTTTCCATTGCTCGTGACCATGGTGTTGGAGGGTTTAGACACAGCGTGATTGTCGGAGTGCTCAAGTTCATGTTGATTTTTTTCTCTTTCAGTTGTTGATGGAAACTCGCTTCTTGTTTTAGACAACACTTCTTCACTACCTCGATTCTTGGACGAGCTGCAAGATATTGATGTTGAAAAAGTTTTCCTCTTTTAATTCATTTATTAAGTTATTATTATCTATTTATTTATTATTAATGTGACACACTTGACCTATCTTTGATTAGTTACTAGTTCTGAGAGAGAATGACGCTCACTTACTCTACGTGCATGGCGGCCTTATTTGGAACATTCGTCACGCAACGCTATCTAGCACCTGACGCTAAGATCAGTACATTGGACAAATCACAGCTGACCTTTTCAAACAGCAGATGATGTCGTATCGATGATGTCTCATTCTTTGCACATCGACTCCCAGCATGGCGGGAAAAATGATGATGACTCCGATGAAATTAAAGATAACAACAACAGCAGCCTGACAATTGACAATCATTAGATGAGTTTAAGCGTGATATCAAGGCCGAGTTTAGTGGTAACTGCCAAGGCTGATGGCTGAGGCAGGTAACACCAAGCAATACCCTTGGAGTTCTGTTTATTATGCAAAACAGAGTACAATAGGTTTTTTTCTTATTTAACAAAAATACTTATATAGAGGCGTCACTTCTGCATATATTGAACTATGGTTTGAAAGCAGTTTTAGCAAGAATTTCCCGGGTGCCTGTAGCCACTCAACATTGATTTTGAATAAACGGGGTAAGTTTCTAAAGAAACTGTGGTGCTGCGTCGGTGGGAGAATATAACAGGATAATTAAGTATTATCAACTGATTTGATAACGTAAATTGGCCACCGTAAAGAGTTTTAAAGCTGAATTTTCGAGAGTTAGCCCTTCGCCATTCGCTCTGACGAAGGACCAACGCTCAAAATGTCAGCTTTGACACTCTTTAAGGTGGCCAATTTAATTTATCAACTCAGTTTATAATACTTAGTAACAGTAATTTTGACCGTTCTAACACACCTTGCGATTGGTTATAGAAAAAGGCTGGTGCGATCTTCCTAAACAACCCGAAAGGGTCCCGCAATCATCAACTGTGCACTCCTCGTCAAATATTAACCAGACTACCCTCGTACCCCTTGACTGAAGTCACACCACGACAACCGCAACCCGTTTTGCAAAATATCTTATAGCAGTCGATTTTTTGATGTTACTCAACGAACACATCATGTGACGTCCAAAACAGACTTATGGAGAAGGAGACTTAAGTTGTACCTGAAGTGCAAAATATCTCAGGGCTGGTATAGGAATCAACGCCGCCATGAAGAACGCTAACATGTTGTTGAATGACGTCAGAAACACGCTAACCCCAGTGGTTCCCAAACAGTAGCCAACTTCTTCCTGTCAGAAAATAAGAAGTGGATGAGATGATTTAATTGACGGAAATTACCAGCTCTTGTTTGCAATTACTTATCAGCGTGCGGGAAAAGTGTTAGGAGAGAGAGCAAAGGCCAAGACACGCGCTCCTCGTCTTGCGCTCCTCTACACGCGCGTGTCTCACCCATCGCGCTCTCCTCGCTCTTGCTTCTGCGCAAAAAAGAACAAAAAAAATCGATTTCACTTCTGCAGCTAATTGGCTGATTGAGTTTCACCAACGCATCGAATGAGTATTCTCGTCCAAGTTTAAAGTAGGTTTGCTCTCCCACCTTTCCCTAAATATCATCACGTTGTTCTATTATCCTCTCTCACCGTAATTCGCAAAACTTACCACATGGCGGATGTCTCCACCCCGTATTAAGCTGGAATACGAGTGAGCCAGAAGAAACATGTCATCCACGCCCAGACCGAGGGCAAGAAACGGTAACACCTTAGAAAAAACAAGTATCCACGTCACTCATCAACAGTTGCTGTAAAAACCATCCCTCGACCCAGGCCGCCTCGTCAACAATAGTTATTTCGCGCTCTGCATGCTAATTTATTATTCAGTCTGCGAGTCACATTGTTCGAGTTAGTTATCAGTTGTCCGTCGCAGTCAAGTTTCGCTATCCCCGAGTAATTTTATTTTATTCATCTATTTAGAAACCACATTGGCAATAACGTAACTATGGTGAGACATTAAATCGAAGTGAAAACATATTGCTGGTGTGCGTCGTCTATAGTTGCTTTTACTGCTATCGGTGTAAAACCCGAATTGTGAGTCCACACGATATATTGCATTGGTTTTCTGTTCTTCTTATTTCGTTGAGGAGTACCTGAATGTTATTATTCTTACCTGAGTTGATGCAGCGTTGAATGTTATCCCGCACAATGCACTAAAACCAAACCCAGCAGCCACCGAGAGCGTAACCAAGAGCACACCCACAAACCCCAGGGCACCATGAGATCTGATTGGCTCACACCAGCGCTTCAGAGTTATGCACGCATAAATGAGCTGAAATAAGAATAGAAAATTTAGTCTCAAGCTGAGCTTGCGCTCTTCTTGCCCAGCGGTTCTTGACTTTGATCGCTGGTCAAGAGAGTTGAATGTTGTAAATGTGGACTCCATGTATGCTTTTTGTGTTGTGCCGTGGGGTGGGTGAGTGAGATAGATTATGACTTGGAATGGTCTGTTAAGTTTAAAGTGAGGCAGGGAAATACGAGAATGAAAACCAAAGAGAATGGTGGTCGGGGAGATTGGGGTGGCGCAGACAAACTTAACCTCAACTTGAATGAGAGAAGCTGGACTGGGAACGAGATAAATGTGTAAAGAGCTTACACAATCTCCACTTACGGAGGACTTCGAAAAAGAATCGGGTGGAAGAGAGCTTAAGCGCAGGAAGCTTTAAATGTGGGAAAACTAAAGTTTTTATTTGATCACACGTGAAATGATGTAAGAAAGGTACAGAGGGCGGTATATTTGTAAGTCATGCAGAGAGGACAGTCTCCCTCACTTCCAAGGGGAGTTTATTTTATTCCCCAACACGGGGAGAGGAGGTGAGGGCTGGTTTGTTAAATTGTATCTCTGTAAAATAATATTTCTTGTTATTCAAATGATCAAATTAAATGGGTTATTGGAAGATGTTATTTTACAAACAGCAGTGTTTACCATGAGTACGTATCCTATAGCAATTCTTGACACGCTGGTCTCTGAGAACTCCTTCAATAAGTCAGTGACAGAGGTTGAGTCAAAAGCTAGGATACTGAACTCGTCAGTTTCTTTGACGTCTTCATTGATTTCCTGTGGAGGTAGAGAAAGTCAGGTTATGTCTGACTACGAAACAAACTCAAATAGATATCAGATCCAGTCCCCGTCTTTGTAACATGCATATGGAGCAACATAAAGTACTGGGACTCCGTCTGGAAGTTTTCTCTGTCTGTTTGCAAGTGCCCCCTTCCTCACAATCCTGTGTGGATAGGCACTGTGAGCGTTAAGTGTCGCTCCCGAGGAAAATGACTCGAGCATTTTGATGTAGCATCAAGCGCGTTTAGATCATTTTTTATGCCTATATATATATAAATGTTATTCTGTCATCATATGACCGGTGGGGCCAAGTGAGAAACCAGTGAATAAGTGGCCTTTTCGGTTACACACAGCATGCCCTAACATGCAGGATATATCTGGCAGGATCAGTGGAAACTTTTACCTCTGTAAAGCGCCGTTGCCATGCCTCTAGGACTTGTTTCGCAGTATCCAAGCTCCAACGCACATTCAACTCCTGAGATCTGTCTGCCCATCGTTTGTACAGACCTTGTGGACCCGCGAGAACGAGAATTGTCTGAAGCGCTTTTGCACTGGAAAAAAGTCCAGAAGTTTCAACATACAATTCTTTTCCTTAACCTAAGAGAGAAAACTGCGTGCGTTTTTTAATACTTTATATCGTTATTCTATCGATCGGGAATACGCAAATATAATGTTGATCCGCGACTGAATTGGTTTTTTTATTATAGGTTTCTGCCATTCATCAACAAAAGTTGCGCCTCTTTCCCTCTCTCTCTTTCTCTCTCGACCAATCAGATGCAAAACTTAACCCAATCGCGACTTCTTTAACTGAGTTTTCTCGCATATCAGGTACGTTTACTTAAATGTAAATGTGGTATTTACTTTTGTTTTTAATGCCTTTTTTCTTACTTTGGGTTTGACATGGACCACTTGATCCAAATACCGTTAATTTTTCTTTCCAGTCACACTAACGACAAAATGAAACCATTTCAACTTCGGCGTGCAGATCTTACCAATCAATGGAATACGTTCTAGAGTTTCAGATAAAGATATATTTTTTAAATCTATCAATAATAACTAACCTCGTCAACGTATTATTGTGTTTTGTTACTCCACCAACAATTAGCTCTTCAGCCCACTGCATAAATTCTGTTGCAAAACCTTTGCAACCTCCATTTAGCTCTGACTTTACGTCTGGTGCCTACAAGAATAATCATAAGAGACAAAACGAGTTTCTCACTTCCCAGAAGTGCTTATCTCGTGAAAATGAAAGCGATCCTCGCAGTAATGAACACTACTTAAACAGTAGTGAAAATAAGGCCTGAAAAAAATTCAGGCCTGAACGGGAATTGAATTCATGACCTCTGCGATACCAGTGCAGTGCTCTACCAACTGAGCTTACAAGCCAACTAGGAGCTGGTCACTATGTTTCCAAATAAACCCGTGAAGTGATGAATAAACTGATGACTGCGGATATATGAAAATAATGTATGTGAACTGCGATGTGAACCACTTTCCAGTCGCATTCATATTCACATCTTTATCCGCAGTTCACATAAATGATTTTCAAATATTCACAGTCAGTACTTATCGCATTGATCACAGACTATGGTGTCTTACACGGAGATAAAGGTTACAATCACCTTTCAAAGCATATTGAACGGCATCACATGAAAGTATTACTCAGTAGCTTTCACTTGCATCGTAACTGGATATTCAACTGACCAGGAAAAAAGGGCCACGTACGCACATTCCAAACTCAAGTTTAGCAGGCTCATTAACACGTGTTTTGGCCAGCCCCCGGGAAAACAGCGGTCAAACGATTACGCATGTGTGAACATTGGATGGCGCACAGACCCATGTTGTCTTACAGGAATTATACGCAACCACGCAAGCCAAAGAATCAAGTTATTTTGAAGTTATTCAAGTTTTAATTTTCTTTATTTTTGTTTCTTTTCTCTGATCTATCGAAATGTTTCTTTTTTCCCCACATCATGTATAACAGCGGTTGTTTCTTATATTTTCATTGAAATTCTTGAGCGGGAAATCGGCGCGCGGCCGGCGAAAATACATATCACTTACGCATGCCCTACGTTTCACTGCTGTGATGCTGTTATCAAGGGAGAATCACCCTATACTTTTCTATCTTATTTTAAAAGAAAGGGGCAAAATTACCTTTCCTGTTTTTGAGGGAGAGTTAGGAGCTGTGCTCGGGCATTTAGGCTCTGTTGGATCAAGGCAAGGCTTTTCTTGATATCCTTTGGTGATACCAGCCTAACAAACGAATCAATACCAAAATTAAAGTTTGAATAATAATAATAAAAATCAAAGTTGGGCCGTAAAGTTAATGACAAGAATTTGAAAAAATCGCTTTACTGCTTACCTTGACAAACAGATCTTTAATTTCCTCTTTGCCTTCAATATTAAGCTGATCTAACAGTGTTAAAAGAAAAGTCGGGTTGCTTTCGGTCCATTCTAAGGGAAACACTCTAAAAACAGACAAACAAAACAAAAGAAAGCAATTTAAAGCCTCAAAGCAATTTAAGGAAACAATTGGGACGAAGGATTTTTCTTTGG